ACAGCTATGCTGAAGGAACCCAGGAAAGCTACTCATCTTCAAGGCAATACATGAAGTCCAGAGTCATGAATAATCTGGATGAGACAGACGTCCACAGGTAGTTAACCATTTAATCCCTACAAATGTTTGGAAACTGTGAATTATTCATAATTATGTATCACTAATGTATGTTAGTAAGTGTCTTAACAAATTACAATACATTTTTCATCAAATAATGAAAAACAACAATATTTTCTTTACAGGGAGCACACCCAAAGTAGCCATTACTACAAGGAAGGGCCTGGCTCGGGCTCTAGTCATGGTCACTACGAAAGACTTCGGGGTCCCTCTCCACAACTCTCCGTGGACCAGTATTCAAATTCAAGCTTTCGCTCAGATCGGGAGCAACAACCTGGAAACTACAGCAGAGAGTACTTTTCATCTGATGATTTGAAAGGACCTGAGGGCCACCAGGCCCCGCCGGTAGCTGGGAGGTATGCAGGAGATTCAAGCAGGAGGCCAACAGTAGGTCATGCGTATGCCTGCCAGAGCTCACCCACACAGCCCCACCCTCCAGAGAAGAAAACGTATGCCAAAGAATCTGAACCAGAGGCTGGTGAAGATGCAGATGCCAGGCAAGGCATGAGGAGTTGGAGAATCCACTCCTATCTTAACACCTATGAGGATGGTGGCGAAGAAGGTCTGACACAACCTTTGGGTCCTGATGCATTTGAAGATCCTCCACCTCAGAAATCCTCTGCTAATGACAATCCCACTTCCCGCTATGGACTAAAGGAGCCACCAAATGTTCCCAACAAACCCAAAGCAGAATTCACGAGACCACGCTATGGAAAGCCCATCTTACCCGATAGCAACAGCAGAGAATCTTCCCTGACAACAACTAAGGATCTGTATTCGTCTAGCAGGGACCTAAGGCCATCTGTACTTGAGAAGGAAACAGAGAGAGGTGCAGCAAGGGAGGTCGGTGTGGATGTGAGAGGGAAAGACGTTCCTGATCGCTTCCTTTCCAAACATGAATCATTCCATTCACGTAACAACCCACTAATTCAACGTAGCTCACGTCTGCGTTCTTCGCTTATTTTTTCCTCTTCCAAGGTAGAGATGCATAGTGGTAGCCTTGGCCTCAAAACAGCCACAGAGGAAGACGAGGAGTTGGACTCAGGGCGCACTTCCTCGATTGTGGCCCAGATCCTAGAGAAGAGGAGGTCATTGACTCGTGAGCCTTTTGACTGGAGAAAGAAGGCTGAGGAGAGAGAGAAGGAGAAGGAGAAAGAGAAAGAAGAGAACGAGCGACTGCAAAAAGAAAACGAGACTCGATTGACAGATGAGCTCAAAGCAAAAGAGGAACTTCGGAAAAAGAACGAAGAGGTAAAGACGACGACGACAACAGCAGAGAAATTTGAAGTCTCCTCCTCCTCCTCCTCATCATCTATGAACATGAATGACCCCGCCAGTCGACTGCAGTATTTCAAAGAACTGGCTGCTAAGAGAAAAGCGTCAAAAATCGAAACAGAGTTGTCACTTAAAGCCCCACAGCCTGTTGAGAAAAAGCCAGACCTTTCTGATAAACCTCCCATAACACCTGCAATGACTCCAAGGATCCCAACTGTCTCTGTTAGTTCAGCAGAACCTGTACCAAAGAAGACAGACCTTTCTGCAAAGATAGCAGAGCTCACTCGCAGAACTTCCTTTAGTTCTGTGAAACCACCTATCTTGAAACCTTTGGCGAACCTCCTGAAGCATTCGGAGACAACTCAACCTCGTAAAGATGATAATGCGTCAGATGGTCAAAAGAAGGATATATTCAAGAAGCCCTTTCCTTCACCTAATATCTTCAGGAGAGATCAGTTGAAGCTCAAAGTACTCGGTCCTCGTCGCATCTCCTGTGGTGAAGACCTTCTGACCACAGATGCTACGGACGCAGAGAAGAGTGAAATGAAAAAGAGTCGCACTCATAGTTCTTCAACTCTGCCATATGCCGATTCAAAAGAAGGAATGCAAAAAGTAATGGGGTCTAATACATCCATCAACACACTTGGTGATGGAAAGGGTGATGGTAAGACACTTGACTTCTTGAAGAAGCAGACTCAGAGGCTAAAGGGATTCCTGGGGCCCAAGGACAAAGAAAAGAGATATTCAGGAGATGAAAAGAGCATGAGCACGGTGAAAGAGCTCACTGAAGAATTCAACAAAAATGCATTGGATAAAGATAAAGCCACTACCGACCAAACTACAACCAATCACAAGACATCGACCATCACATCGGCTACATCTCGATACCAGTCCCCCAGCAGCTCTGTTATATTCAGCAGCAACCTACGAGATGACACTAAAGTCATCCTGGAGCAGATCTCAGCCAACAGCCAGAAGAACCGACTGGAAAGAGAAGAAACGGGAGGCGACGAGGACAATTCCATAAAAAATAGCAGATTTCTGCGTCCGGTCAGCAACATCCAGGAGCGAGAGGGACTACTCAAGAGGATGGAGAGTATGAGGAAGGAGAAGAAGGTCTACAGCCGCTTTGAGGTAGTCTATCACTGTCATGATGATGTTTGCAGCGTGGAGGGGAAAGAAATGTGAACAAAAGCAAAAGTAGTTGTAGGTGTAATAAATGTAATGTAGTCACGAGTTAGTGTAATCAATGGTTTTAAGAAATCTTATTCTAAGCCATAATGTTTGGGAATTAGGACTTTTTTAAAGTTTATTCAGCAAATATATAAATTGAAATGTTTCTTGTAAATGCAGATAAACAATTGTGGTTTTATATATGTTCTACATAATTATAGAAATATGAGGACTCATAATATTGACAGTAGAGACAGTCAGGTGAAAGTCATACACTGTTGAATTACATGTTAACCCTGTTGTTCTGTCAACAGATGGGGAATACCCTGGGATAACGAAAGATGGAGGAATCACCTTTTATATGGAAACTATTTATGCAAGATGATCAAAAAGACGCATTGCCCATATATGCCAATGACTCTATCAAAGTACCTCTTCGGCTCAACACTGCAGCCTTTCCTGGATTTTAATACGACGTAATAAAACTTGAAAAGACACTATATAAAAATGCTGAAAACAAACTTAAGTCATTGGGTTTGGAATGTGCCTTTGTGCCAAGACATGGTACTACTTTGACCTTATATGGTGACTGAGAGAAAGAAGAGGGACTCGCATTGTGGCTGCCATGGACTAATGTTTCACCCAACAGAAAAAGGTAGGGCAATTCACCTACAACTGAACTTGTATCAACGTGACTGAGGGAGTACGAGAGAAATGTAGAACATATTGCACCTGAGGGTTGATATAAAAAGGAATGTTAGAACATGGCGGTATACAGTATTACGCCATGTGTACTATGCTGTACCAGTGCTGTGTGTTTCTACAAGTGTCTGTGCAGCTGGGACTTGTCTGAAGCTGAATTGGAGAAAGTGTCCTTGTGGATTCACTGTGTGCCAATGGCCTACTGTGGGCATCACCAACGTTAGGATTATATTATTAATCCTGGAACAGAAACAACAATGAGAAAATGAAGGGGAATAAACATGAGATGAATTGATGAAGGGGGACATTTTAAGGGCAAATCTGAGATTATAGAGAAAGCAGAAGCAATCCAAATGAATGTTTGTTTATAATAACTATTCTGATGTTAAGGCAGAGTTTAAATGGAAAGGAAAGCCTGTAGTGAACTTTAGGTGTGTATCTTTCTATTAAGGCGTGGACCTGCTTCTCAGGGTTAAACGTGACAGATAACCATTGAGAGAGGCCAACGCATTCATGGTCGACAAGTGGAGTTAAAAAATATAAGTGTACTATTCTTGGTCTAATGTAAATAAAGGTGTTAAGCATTTGTAGTTGCACTGAACGACTGTAAAAAACAAAACAAAAAGACACAGCTCTAAGTGTCCTGTTTCTGTATCATTTAACATTTGAATTAGTCATCAGGAAACAACGAGTAACAACTAGCTAGCTACACTTTGCAGGACTGGAGCAGGGCCATGCCTCCTTACATAAGTCATTTAACTTCAGAGACCTACGCCCTACGCAGGACTGCCAACTCCTTTGTTGGTGCGTAAACACTAGTGCACCAAAGATGTAGTTATACGGTACAGTTCCAAGGCTGCTCAACAGGTCATTGGTTTATACAGAACATCAAAAGCATTGAGGATGGGTTGATTCATGGATAATAATTCCGGGGTTACACTTTTTTTTTTCACGAGGGGTTATACTGTACATATTTATATAAAAAATAACTTGTTGATAATCTATATAACAACTTAGAAATTGTTATATCACCCTAAAGGGCCTTCTGTTTTTCATTAATATGCAAGTATGTGGTCTTGGCTGTAAATACTAATTAGAATTAAGTAGGGGGGCTCAGTTACACAGTAATGTGTTTAAAAAAAAATCAAACAACCTCAGATAGTATTACATTGTAATTGAAATACTGTTCAAAAGTATTTTATTAAAACTCTTTAAAACTGAAATTGAACGTGGCTGTGTGCACATATATATATACACGTGTGTGTGTTTATTGTAGTGACTTGTATTGTTTTCATGTATAGGCTCTTTTAAGATTTATAATATGAACCCATTTAACAACATTACAACACGTTAAAACGTTACATTTCTTCAGTATATGAACACTTTTATATATTATATCAATACACACTATTTAGATAAGATGAACATACAGGATAGTGGAATCTGAAAAACAATAACTAGTCACACTATGAACACTATTTCAGAACACATCAAAACAAGCCCGTCTCACAGAACAATTCATATCAAAAAGTTCAAGAAGCCAAGGAATAAACAGTTTGAAGTTGTAGGTGTTTGCACTATGGGTCTGGCAGGATCCTGCAACACTTGAATAGATTAAACCCAGGAAGTGACATTTATTAGATTTAAGGCTTTTACCTGACACAAAGCAATAAAAGTGCATCTAACTGGCAGTAAAACAAGGTACCTCTGATTCTTTCAAAATACCCATAATCGCACCGTTTTACTCCCCCTGAGTCTCTGCAGCTGTGGTCGCTCGCTGCTTGTGTTTCTCCATCTCTTCCAGCTCCTCTTGGAGGCGATGAAGCTGAGCCAACTTCATTTGTTCTGTGAAAGTCACAGACCATCAGAGGTGTTGGAAATGGAACATTGTCACGGTCCGTTTATTTTTCAAAGTCATTTTCTCCTCCTGTCTGATTGTCTTATGTTCACCTGTTGCCTGTGTTTCACCTCCTCTCCCCTGTGTGTTCTCTTGTGATACCCTTCTGTGTATTCAGTCTTGCTTTCCCTTGTGTTCCTCGTCCCTGTCCCCATGGTTTGGTTCCTTATTTCACATCAATCCCTTCTAGTTTTGTTTGCTTGCTACTTTCCTTTTGTTTTACTTCTCCTGCTTCTTCAGTTTTGGTACCAGCTTCTAAGTTAATAAAAGCTTGCCTTATGTTTACATTCCCATTCCTGCCTCCCCTGCTCTTGGGTCCGCATTACTACCAAACCCTGACAAACATAAACACTAAAGTCATGCATGTAAAGGATCAATGTTTTATAGCTTGCAGACGATGGGCATGAGTTATGAGAGGACACTTACCGGCTGCCAACAGCTGACTTCTTCTATTCTCAGCACTTGTGATTTCATCTGGGAGCCTTTCTGGAGACTAAGTAACAGTTTGAAGGTTTGTCATTATTCTGTCTTGAAGATGTGAGAAAGTATATCAAATGTTGTACTCATGTGTACACAACATAAGACTAACTCACAAAGACAGAGTGCAGGTTCTTATGCTGCTCTATCAGATGAAGAAGTTGGTTTTCAAACTTCATCCTGCAATAACAAGGCTGACATTATTGAATCCACATTTTCAAGTATTTTTTCATTCAAGTTATCCTTGCACTGTAAATCGTTACCGCTGCTTCCGGTGTTTAAGCTTGAATTCCTGGATTTCACATCTGTACTGTTCCAGAAGTTCCTCACTTTTCCTGTTCTGATTTAACTGCCTACAAAACACACACGATGTAACACTTGGTTCAAGATAATACTTATCTAAACATATCATAAAGTAAGAAACTGAAGTTCTTAAAAGGAGAAAATACTCATGACTTTTCTGTCGTAAGTATTTAATTTAGTATACAGAAATCAGCTCTGCCATGTGATTAGTCCATATGTATTTATTGAATTACTAGAAAACATGCTATATTGTTATGTCCTTATCAAGACAGAAGATATCACCTAGCCCTAGTACACAATACATATCAAACGTACAATTAGAGAAGTGAAAAGTTGACGATAAAACAAAGACCCAGAAAGGAATCAAACTCTGAAGCCTTAACACTTCCTTAGAGCCTTAGGGAAACTGATAATTCAATCAAATCAATAATATAGAAAGGAGTAGAAATGTATCATTGAAAAGGTATGAAGGTACACAAACTGGAATTCTTTGTACATCAACTTGGCAACTAGATAAATAGATATCAATATAAGTCAATTAGGAAACGAGTCAAAACATTACTTATGTTTTTGTTTACAGTTCAAATGGAAGGGCTCAGAAAAGCAAATCCAACACGTCCTAATAAATACAGAAAATACAGCCATCAGAGAATTTCTCGAGGATAATAAATATCCAGGATTCTGATGAGTTGCTGCCATCTAGTGTTACATATCACCAACAGCAGTTTCACAAAATGGAGAAATGAAAACGTTAAAGCGAAACTCAAAGCAGAACTCTTTATAGCTGCATTTCTATATATGTATTCTGGTTGGTGCCGAGCTCACCTGACCGAGTCCTGCTCAGACTCCGCACTCTGAAACTGAAGCTTCCTGCACAGCTCTGGAGAACAATCAGCTGAGTTCAATGTATTGTCTTTGTTTTAACATGACAGATTTGTTTCCAGACAGTCAGTCAGCCAAAACATTAACACTACATGCCAACAAATGCTCATACTAATTGGGATATAATCAAATACACATGTACACTTGTTTGTCTGCGTACCTTCTTTTTCTTTAAGGATTCCTTCCAGTTGGTAAGCTTCAGTTTGCACTGTAAACAACGACAATGGTTAGTAATGATAGATAATAAACAACATCATATATGGTACATGAGACATAAATAGTTGCAAATAAGATAGCAAATACATGTATTTTCTACTTATATACTTACTTAGCAACAGCTACAATAGCTTTATTGGATACAGATCAAATATAATTATTATGAATGATTTTGTGTCTTACAAGATGCCAGTTCTTTTTGCGAAGAGTCACTGACGCATTTGATCTCCTTGATTTCCTCTTCCAGGATTCTTTTACCTTTGAAAGAAACACAGTGACTAAAAAATGACAACTGTTCAGAAGTTAAAATGTGGGGAAATGTAAAAAGTAGAGAGGTAAACCAAAAAAAACATTTGCTAATATTTTTTTATCTCAAAGATGATGAAAAGAACAAAATAAGTTCTCAACATTCTCCTTGTTGACAAGCAAAGTCACTGCCCCTTCTGCAAGGGAGATGCTATAGAACACATTGAGCTACACATTGAATGGATTACTGACAATTCGTTTATATATTATTATAGTTTTGTTATGCAAATATGAATGGAATTGTTTTTTTCAAAACCCGTACTGACATGAAAAGCAGTATATCCAAGACAAAAGAGTTGAAATCATTTGTAACATATGTTCCACATGTGTTTTTCTGTGCACATGAATCGTTAAGAAATAACGATATTTGCCAACATACCTGCAATCCAGTTTCATCCCTACAAAGACTCTGGTGTAGCTGTTTTCATTCACATGTATGTCAGAATGGTCTTAGAGGGTGTTGCAGTTCCCTCTAAGATGGAGATATTAATCATACCTCATGGCTCTCCATTCATCATGTTCTGAAACTCCTTATTAGGAGTAACAGGTAAGGATGTACCTCACTGAAGATACCGGTGTCATGATATGAGAAACATTAGCATCAGTACGTACAGCCGTCTTACTCGCGGTGCACAATCACAAAACTTTCTCTCAATATCTAACCGTTGTCTCGTAAAGTTTTCACTTCACTTTCCTCGGGCATCAACAAGGCATTTTCACCCAGCCATTTCGCTCACTGGATATTTTACATTTTCTGACCATTCTCTGTAAAAACTAGAGATGGTTGTGCTGAGAATCCCAGTAGATCAGCAGTTTCTGAAATACTCAGACAGCCCGTCCGGCCACAACAACCATGCCACGTTCAAAGTCACTTAAATCCCCTTTCTTCCCCATTCTGATGCTCTGTCTGAACCCCACCAGGTCGTCTTGACCATGTCTACATGCTTAATTGCATTGAGTTGCTGCCATGTGATTGGCTGATTAGATATATTGCGTTAACGAGCAGTTGAACAGGTGTACCTAATAAAGTGGCCAGTCAGTGTATCATAGTAAAAGCACACAGTGATGATGACAAGCTACATTTGTCTCGCCCTGCACTAGAAAAGCCGACAGTTAAAACAAACTGAGAGCTAGTAGAACAATGGTGCAGCAGATTGATTGATTGATTGATTGAAAAGTTTATTAACAGCTTGTATATTGGGTACAGTACAGTACAGCTCAAAACATACAATTGTTAAGGGGATGCAGACCAGAGAAAGACTTTCGTCTTGTTTACATCAGGGTCCCCCATTTCCAATTCATCATGTCATTTAAGACATATAAGACATATTTGACATACAGATGGCTTATTTACAATTTACACACAGGTGGTTTTTTACATACAGATTGCTTATTTACAATTTTCATTTTAGATTTCGTTCTAATACATCCTAACCGGACATTTAAGACATACCAAGTCTACAGATATACAGTTAGTAACAGAGTCTAAAATGCGAGTATATACATAGATGGGGGGGGGGGGGGGGGGGGGGGGGGGGGGAAGCTGTCCATTGAACGACAGGTTGAGATTTGTACCATTACCGGGGCCAGTTTTTGCAAATGCTCTCCCCCGAAGGTGCTCTTTAAGAGAGGTTTTGAAGGTAAGTATAGTTTTACTTTCCTTTACAGTTGTGGGAAGAGCGTTCCACCTTGATGTGGCATAATTGCGAAACGTGTATTCCCCTTTTTTTTGTGCCAAAGCTGGGTTTCACATGATTTGTGGAGCTCCCTCTGGTGTTATGATCATGGTATTCCTTGACCTTTGGGAAGAATTTTGACATGTACATGGGTACCATAGAGGTGTAGTGGATCTTGTAGACCAGGGGGGTATACTACGAAGCAGGATTTTCGCTTAGCCGGCTAAATTCAGGGAAAACTCCGGCTTTCCGGTCCTACGAAGCTGGTTCTCTTTTTAGCAGGCTAGATCTCCATGGTAACTTATGCTTAGCGGCTAACCTGGTCGGGACCAGGTTAGGTTGCAGGCTAAGAGCTCAACTCAGTGAAAGCACTGCCTGCTGACCAATCAGAGCTCAGTGTGCGGAGTTTAAAGCGATCAAGTCATATTACAGGAGAAAGGAAATACAGAAAAGCTGCAGTCGCAGGAAAGACGGCCGGCAAAAATCACCGACTGTTTGAACGTGAACATTAATAGAATATCACCTCCCATCTTCAGAGCAATCTGACTATTATAACATTAGCGTTAAGAAAGCTTACTTACATATCTACCACAACATAAGTAACCGGATCAGAGTAACATTAAGTACAGTCCGCGGCATATCACTTCATAATGTATCATATATTTTCTTATCTGGGTCAGCTGAGCCGTATCTGGCCGTGCAACACTCACAGTGTCACATACTGTATGCAGAAGTATTATTTTAAGCAACACATTAAGTTGACGAAACACTCGAGACAAATGTAATTAAAGTCAAATCGTGTTTTAGACGGGGCAGTGATATCATAAACCTGTTAATGTACGCATTCAAACACTTTTTCTTTTGCCAGCTGTATTCACCTTGCAGGTGCAGACTATGTGGCTTTTATCCTGGATAAAGTGTTTAAGTCATGGATGTTTAAAGTTTAACTTCTTCATTTTTGACTAGTATTAAAGTTCACTTTTCATTCAGGAAGTATGACGCTGCGCTCTCAGTACGCTTCTCCATGTTTCTGATTGGTCGAATGCTCCAGATACCACCCCTTTCATGTGAACGCGCACCTAACTAGATAGGACACGGCTGGCTTGAGCGATCCACTTGATAACCAGCGTCGTAGTACCGTTTAGCGAGAGCGCGTATGTTTTGGATTAGGCCAACCGGCTAACTCAAACATATCCAGGTTAGGTTGAACCAGCTTCGTAGTAGAGGCCCCAGGCCCATTGCAAGTAGCTGTACTCTGTCATCTACTCTAAGCCATCCTAGGTTGTCAAAGTGGGCAGAGGTGAGGTGGGTTCTAGATGAAAGGTCAAGCAGTAGTCTGACCAGTTTATTTTGCGATGTTTGAAGTTTTATTTTTAGCGCCTTGGAGGTGCTATGGTACCATGACGTGCAAGCATAGTCATAGTACCCTTGAATGAGTGCTCCTGCCAGAGTTTTCAGGGTGTTTTTGTTTACCAGAGAGGAGATCCGGTATAGGAATCTAGTTCTTTGATTGACTTTTTTTATTACATTGGATGCCATTTTGTCACAGGAGAGGTTTGCCTCAAGAATAGATCCTAGGTATGTAATTTCCTTCTTACTTGTGACAATAATGTCGCCCACTGCAACTGAGAAGTCGTCGGATTTGCTGAGATTATGTTTCGAACCGAAGAGAATGGACTCTGTTTTACCCAGGTGTAATGATAATGTATTATCGGCGAGCCAGGTGCAGATTCTGCCGAGATCGGAGCTGAGATGGGGAAGGAAACACTGCATTCGTCAAAAAAGAAGCCTACTGAGTTTGCATGATAGATAAAAGAAGAACATAATCAAACTAAAACATTTATTAAAAGAAAATACGTCATATTCACAGGAAATAATTTTCAAATTGATTGTTTGACACAAATTCCATGCACACAGTTTATCAGTTGGACTCCTATTATTGATGTTATGAATTTAATATAATGTGAAATATCCATAAAATGTCTTCAATAAAGGCTTTATTAAATTGTTATGGATTTATTTTCACATGTATGTCAGAATGGTCTTAGAGGGTGTTGCAGTTCCCTCTAAGATGGAGATATTAATCATATCTCATGGCTCTCCATTCATCATGTTCTGAAACTCCTTATTAGGAGTAACAGGTAAGGATGTACCTCACTGAAGATACCACTGTCATGATATGAGAAACATTAAGATCAGTACGTACAGCCGTCTTACTAGCGGTGCACCGTCACAAATCTTTCTCTCAATTTCAAATTGGGGCGTCGTAAAGTTTTCACATTGTTCGATCAGTTCATCGCTATAGGAAATGATTCACAGTGGTTATGTGATAACGTGTAAGTGATTATGATCTAACTGAAGAAAAGGCATAACTCACTATAAAATGTAATTTCACAAAAACTATGAAAAATATCAAGATGTTCACTACACCTCCTGCTCTCGCTAAATTTGAAAATGACATTTGTCCTGAATAGAAAAATTGTGAGTATAATTAAAGAACTCATCCCATATATTTTTCCAATGTCCAATTGGCTTTTATCTCTGGATAACATTCATTTTTGTGATGTTATGAACTGAATATAATATGAACTATCCATAAAATGTACTTAATGTCTTCACTGAAGGCTTTGTTAAGTTAGATGCATCTCAAATAAAGCAATAGTGTAGCTTATCTAGCCATTTTTTATTAGATTTGTATTCACAATGGTGTCAGAATGGTCTTAGAGGGTGTTGCAGTTCCCTCTAAGATGGAGATATTAATCATATCTCATGGCTTTCCATTCATCATGTTCTGAAACTCCTTATTAGGAGTAACAGGTAAGGATGTACCTCACTGAAGATACCAGTGTCATGATATGAGAAACATTAAGATCAGTACGTACAGCTGTCTTACTTGCGGTGCACCGTCACAAATCTTTCTCTTTCTCAAATTGGGGTGTCGTGAAATGTTCACGTTATATGATCAGTTAATCTCTATAGGACATGATTCAGTGGTTATGAGCTAACTAAATAAAACACAGCATAACTCATATATATCATACTATAAGCGCACAGTGATGAAGACAAGCTACACTCTAAAGACTCAGCCTGCATTATAAAAGCCTGCAGTTTAAACAAACTAAGAGCTAATAGAACAATGTTAAGGTGAATGGGGAAGCAAACACAACATGTGTCAAAAAAACTGAATTTGACAAAAAAATAAGCCTACTTAGTATTATTGTTTAAAGAAAGAAACATTATAAAAAAAGAAATTGTATTACATGAAATATTGACAGTAAAAAATTGTCACAAAAAGTATCCAGATATATACTCATTACATTTATTTTCACATGTATGTCAGAATGGTCTTAGAGGGTGTTGCAGTTCCCTCTAAGATGGAGATATTAATCATATCTCATGGCTCTCCATTCATCATGTTCTGAAACTCCTTATTAGGAGTAACAGGTAAGGATGTACCTCACTGAAGATACCACTGTGATGATATGAAAAACAATAAGCTCAGTACTACAGCTGTCTTACTTGCGGTGCACAATCACAAATCTTTCTCACAATTTCAAAACCGGTGTGTCATGATCATGGTCGTGATGTTTTCACAGTTGTTAGAAGTGTTGTTTCACAAAGACTACAAACAATGTCAAGATGTTCACTTCACCTCCTGCTCTTGCTAAATTTGAAGATTAATTGGTGCTGAACAGCAAAAATGTGATTATAATTACAGAACAACTCATCCTATATTTGTTTCAAAGCTAATACATGATGTCTCCATTCAAGTTTGAATCCTAAATAAAATCTAGTGGCTGTAAGAAATATTTACGTGGTCGATAGGTAGTCGGTTGAGCTTGATTCACAAGTGGCTCATGATAAGATTTATTTTCACATTTATGTCAGAATGGTCTTAGAGGGTGTTGCAGTTCCCTCTAAGATGGAGACATTAATCATATCTCATGGTTCTCCATTCATCATGTTCTGAAACTCCTTATTAGGAGTAACAGGTAAGGATGTACCTCACTGAAGATACCGTCAAACCGATGTGAGAGCCTGTTAGACCATTCAGAACAGCGGTCTTACTCATGGTTTTAAGTTTCGATATCTGAATTCGACTTTTGCCTACCACATGTAGTTGAATGTGTTGTTGCTTAAATTCTGACCTTTACTTTGTTCGTTTATAAATATGTATGTTCTATTTGCTGTTCTGTCGGTTAAACCTAAAAGGAAACGTGTTCATTTGCATAACAGAGCAAACCCTGCTTTCTCATTGGTGCGCATTCACAAAGGTTTGTCTCAGTTTCTCTCAATCTCAGACGACCGTGTATTAAAGTGTTCAAATTGCAGGAACAATTTACCTCTATATGACACACTACACGCAGTCCATGTGCTTATTCTTAATTCGTTTTGACGTTTTCAAAAAAAGAAAAACACAGCGCGATTTAACATCGGAAGCGGAAGTGTTATTTTTTACAAAGACTAACACACATTTCAAGATGTTAACTCCCAAATCCACATCATGCATTTGCTACGTTTTAAATGTATATAACTGCTACTTTCTAAAGATACGCACTAAATGTTGTTGTGATAACAGGACTCACATTGATCGAATGATTAATATTTGAGTATGAATGCAAAATCATGAACGATCGAGGGACCGCCGACACGAACCAAATGCAACACGAAGACGGAAGAGCGCGACAGTAACTCATCTTGCCTAACTTTGTATGCTTTGTGTTACCTCTAAATAAAATGTGAAGCAGTTTGTTTATTAATTCAAATAATGTTGTATTCTTCGTGTCCAGTACCCATTCAATACAATTGTTAGATGAAAAAAGAAGGCTCATAACACAAAAAGGATATGGAGGTGTTGGGTTTTCTTAACTAGAAAACAAAAACTGATCTCGTCTTTCTCCAAAAGATGTCGCTGTTTTCTGAACTGCCTGACCAGAAATGTATCCTACACTACTCACTTTCCTTCTAGTATGCTATACAATGCACATCAAATGTCTCAGTAACTTCTGGAAATAAAAAAAACCGTTATAATGTATAAGTTTAAGTCAGTGACACTACCTTGTTGCAGCCTCCTCAATTTGCCCATCAGCTGTTCAACTTTGGGCTCATGCATACCTCCACCTGACCGCAGAGCATGAACATGTCAGCCTTGTTTATAGGATCTTTTTTTTAGGTTTAAATGTATAACTTGTGCTACTTCACCTTCGTTCAGCGGTATAACATTAATCAAGTCCCCAATGTTAAATCCTGTGAAAGAAAAATACATGTTAGATAAGTGAAAAGTGTTGGTCTTACTTCTATAATGTCCCAATAAGCATATACGCAAGTGTTAGATATCTAAAAGCATCACAAAGTCATAGGTATTTTTAGGTTTCCCTTATTATTTTATTTACATTATAAAGAGTTACGGTTGTTAAAGTTAACATACAAGCCTTCTGCTTAAAAGCTATTTTCAGGTTAGGGCTCAGACTGAGATTTTAGCTAACATAAACAAATGCTAATGTTTTAAAAATGTAACCAGACCTACTTGACTGTAACATAGCCAATATTTGAGTGATACGCTACATTAAAAATGAACATATTGAATACTATGCCAATACTTTTGTACGTTCCTTCACTACAGTACTCTGTTTTATTTAAAGTTAGCTTTAGCTTACAAGGTACACAGTCAACTGGACAGCAGACTACCGTTTATCAATATAAGAAGATTCTTAAACTCAGTAATGTAATACAATTTTCCCTATAGTGACTTATATTTCAATATAAATGTAAGCTGTCTAACCTGTGGTTTCGGACATGTTTATCCAGCGAGGAGAGTCAAATATCTAAAGTTTAACTAACAGTTCTAACTGAAGGAACGAGCGGAGGGATCTCAACGTTTGCCGCCAAAAGTGCACCGGCCGTTGACGTCTATTATCTGAATGGATATATATATACCCTGTATTTATATATACAGTCTATGCATATACCATACCTTTTCAAATTGACTTACATTTGGGGTCTGTAATTCAGCGTAGGCCTATCGTTTTTTTGGAGCTACATAAACGAGTCAACGACCCAGACCGAACGCTAAAGCCCTTATTTAAATCTTAAGGGTCTCAACATTTGTAATTGCCTAATGGTAACACCGGCGTCACTTTATAACAAAAAAAACTCAAATAAATACATCAAACGTTACTGAGTGGGACAATTTTACAACTGAAAAATAAAGTTTCAGCTCTATGTCTGACAGTTAATAAATCAACGTATTGTATGTTGATTTAGTTAATTGTATAAGTCCCAAAGCTGCATAAAACTTCCTTTTTAACTGTATTATTTTACTAGATATTATATATATGATTTATTAGTAGGCTATTTCCAAATTTAACAAAACAGTTTAACACACAAAGTTGGACACAATTACATTTTATAAGTTTTAATGAAAAGCTAACAGCTGTGTAGAGGAGTGCAGTTCCACTTTGATTTAATGCAAATATACAATGAAAACATAACTTCAAAACCCCAAAATTACTTCATCTATACACATCAAACCACTAAAGAGTGCTTTGTACAAGTACACGTTAGTTAGTTAGTTAGATACAAACACTAAAAAAAAAGAGTTTACCAGGGCTGCCCAACAACACTGTCTCTCATAAACAGGAATACCTGTAAAGTGTGCATTATCAGCACATGCAAATGAGAGGGTCATGCAAGAGGTGAACAATCTGAACAGAAGTTACAGAATAAAAAAATGTTCATGTTGAATATGTGTGTGTTTATGTGCAAGGAGAATTCTGTCTTCCAGTGCATGTTGATTCCTTTACCTTGTGTATATAATGGTTTCACAATCCCCTTAAGTAAGTCCAAACAACAGTTTCAGTTTGTTTTTTTCAACACCAGTTTAAACAACCTTCAAATCAACGCTGGTACCTACATCAAGCTCAATAAATAGACAAGTTATAAGTCTGTCGTCCATTTACTTCCTAAAAGCTAATAATGAAGTTCTGAAACCTGGATTAGCTTGATATAGAGGTGGTCAGGAATTCCAAAACTTTTTGTTCACATTAGGTAATAAGAAAAAGAAAACACAGCAGTATATTTGTACTTCACATTAATGACCAGATAAGAGGAAATTAGTAAGAACTGTAAAGAAAAAAAGGGGACACATCAGCTTATGAATCATAGGAATGATTTATACTAAAAACTAATTTCTCTTTCCTCTTGAAAAGATGTCCGTAAGAATATACGGTTTATAAATACTGCTTTATGTTCATATTAAGTTATATACATCCAACATTGATCTTCATTCTCTTGCCATTATAATGTTTAAATTTCTGTACTCGGTAAGTGAAGTTCTGATATCAGAGCAATTATTTCCTGAAAAGCAACAAATCCAAAGGAATCACTTCAGCATGCCATTTGGGGGCAGGGGGTTAAGGGGGGCGGGGTACTGGCTTCATATACACTAATACATTTAACTATTTACAGCTGTGACAAGCAATTCCGAGATATTCCTCTGTTAAAGAAACATAACACACCTTTAGTTTTGTTTCCAGTGTTGCCATGCAGAGTGAATTAACATCAGTGGGCTCAAAGGGAGAGATCTGTTTGGGGAATCAGACGGATTGAAAAATGGGTATTTCTAGCACTAATTTGTTTTCAAGTAAAGCTGGTTTGCATCAATATTAGGCGCAACATATTCCATCCCGCTCTTCCTCTGTTTAATCTCTAAGCAAGGCAAGGCCGAGTGCCATGCATCCACGGGATAACATGTGTTACACTGTAGGAGCTGAGTCACACTGAAAGTATGGGTAAAGGTAATGTAGGCATTATGTAGCTATCAGTGTTAGTAGAAGCAGAGGAGAGTTACAGCAACAAGTGGTCAAAAAGACAGATCATTTTGACATTAATTGCAACACCTTTTAAAAAGGTGTGGGTGTGATAGGAGAGGAAAGGAAGTGTGTTATGGGACAAAGTGAAACAAAAGTTTAAAGAGCTATTTCATTTAATTATTTCATTCACGGGAACGTCCCACAATAGCCAGGATGTAGAGGAAGATGTTGATGATGTCAGTGTAGAGGTTGAGTGCGGCAAAAACGTATTCCTCTGGACTCAGAGATAGCTTCTTGTTGCCCAGGAGGAGCTGAGTGTCCACAGCCAAAAACTACAGAGAAGAAACAAGGCGTTAATGGTTTCATGAGATTTCTACACTGTGGATATAACATTAAATGGCATAAAAATGTATCAGCTGTCGTTTCAGAAGTAACAAATACAACCGTAATAAACTCAAATGCCATAATACACTATAATTCAAATAATTCTAAAATAAATATATACATTTCAATTATTATTCAAGGTAACTTGGCGATACATATCTGAATGGATTCCGACACTTCACACAGACAACAGCTCTTTAAAGAAATATTGATACAGCGGGGGTGCAAATGGACCAGTAGACATTGCTAACAATTTACTTTTACCATTAGCAAACGTCTACATTAAACTGCAATCTCAGTTTCATTAGCATCCATCCCGAGGGCTCAACCTCAATACAACCTCAACATTTTATAAACCACTTCCAGTATTTTGGCGCCAGTCTAACCTTCGAGCTCATGGATCTAAGGTCTAACTGGAATCGTATTTCTTCAACTGACCAACTTAAGGCAACACGCTCACACCTATGAAGGGCTGCTTTTGGTCTGAATGTCTATTTAGGCTTTGAGCAACACTAGACAGTGTGCCCCATTCTTTCATGTCTTATTGGCTTTTCCTAACTTCTCAATGTCTATACAGTTGTATATTAAAGTTCAATGTAGCCATTTTTTCTGCTTGGCATCATTAAATGCATCCTATCACATCTTCTTCCTCTTCCCTTCGACAAAAGACATCTTTTACCCTCAATATGTTCAGTGTTTGAACAGCTGCTTTGGATGAGTTTAGGTCATATCTTTTAATAACAAGTTAGCTTCCCACTTTCCTCCTTCTAAGCATTAATATTTTTCCAACTCCGATTGAGCTTTTATTCTTAATCATTCTGCAGATGCAATTATACCTTAAAGAGCAGAATACAGTTCACTAGTAGGAGGGAAACCGTCTGGATGCCAATGCTGACGACTGTCTGGTAACTGAATCTAGACGACTGGATGCATTACCTCACAGATATCAAATGACCCAACTTGAGAAAGACCTTTGATAATATGAACTGTAATGACATTCAAATGATCCTTACTGTTGTACGAAATGATCAGAAATGTTCAACATAGCATCAAAAAGTAAATACAAGCAACCGTCAAATGTGGAAAGGGATTGTTTTTAAGGGACAAAGAGAATGTGAAACGTACGCAGGTGAAGAGCAGGGCCCCCAGTGAGGAATAGACGATGTCCAGGATCCTGTGGCGGATGAAGATGCAGAGGATGGAGAAGAGCAACAGCACGATCAGGCACACAAACAGCACGCCCTGACAGGAAGTGAAGTCATACTTGCTCTGTGGTGAAGAAGGGCAGAAAAGAAAGGACCAGAAAATATGAGGCATGATAAAACACAAGGCTTTGTAATTCGACTAATGGTTCATTCTATTTACATTACAACGCAGAAAAATGACATGTACCTATATAAAAGTACACATCTTTGGTCATGATCACTGAGAATTTGATATGAAACTTAAAGGATGTCAAATATATTGGTTCACTTTTATACACACTCATACCGGTTGTCATACTGTGTGAAAGGCCCCACATCAGCATTTTATACATGTATTTTTAGCTTGTCTCTAAATGATAAATGCACACTGATGTCTTTGTTAATAAAAAAAAGCTTAGTGTGTTTGTTTTAACTAACCAGAATGAATTCTCACATTTGCTTTTGAACCAGAGGGCAGATGCTGTCTTTAGACTTTCAATTTAATTCATACAAGCAGCTGTATGTGTGCACTGACCTGTAGTGAGAAGAGCACGACCGTGAAGCAGACCACTGCAGTGATGCCCACGGCCATGATGACCGTCTCTGTGTCATAGAAGCTGGCGATCATGCCCACCATGTAGGAGAGGCTCAGGGTCAGGATGGACTGCAAGGCACAGAACACACAGACGGTCACATGAACATCCTGAAGACACACTTTACATGTTGTAGATTCAGGTGAGACTAAGGAAAGGTGGACCATAAGCAAAACAAGAAAACATCTATGCAGTCTCATTATAATAGATATGTTTGGAATAACAAAGACTCACTAATGTAGATTTATTGGTTTATTTGACTTATTGCTCTCAGGTCTGATTCAATTTTTCCTCATTCATATTGCAAACAAACTGTTTATATATCATGTAAGTAGACTTTTAACTTTTAGAAACAGACCTTTTTTTATTATTTGGCATTAGGAGTAGTTCGTACCAGTGCAATCAAGTTCCAGGGGTGCTTGCGGCGGAATTCTCCACAACAGCTGAGGGTGATCAGGGACACGAGAAAGACCACGTAGGACACATAGTATGTCCATGGATTACGTCGCACAAAGACCTTTGCTTCGTCAACAAAGGTGAAGATGGCAACAAAGGAGAAAGTGATCAGCAGCTGCACCGTGAGAACCGCGAAGACCTGGTGGGAGAAAAGATACAAAGCAGGTGAGGTGCAAAACTATTTTTTGGTGGTATTTCATATTAATGTGAGTCATATTATATGTTATGTTTACTTCTTTATTAAACCCATCTTGTATAGTTCATACGATAAGGGACCTACCTTTCTGATGAAGGCTTGTCGGATGGTTTTGTCCTCAAAACCAGAGTTGGTGAATTCCTCATTGTCGTAGTAATTTGGAGGAACATCACCTTGGTAACCAGGGCTGCCTGCAGGTGCTGCTGAACAACAATCACAGGACGAGAGTTTAACAACGTGCAATAAACAACTGGACATGTGTCTGAGCCTTGTTCACCACACTGTGATTGTAGCATTGATAATCTCATTGATTGCCCAGTCATGTGCGTTGAGTCTGATCTAAACTGGATGTTGTTGACCTGGATAACATACACAGTTCTTCTGGCACTCACAGGCCTTTAGTGTGACACTTGTGTTAAGTTATTTTCAGTCCTTAGTCAAATGTCTTTGTTGGATTTATCACCCTCATTCTGTTTTACCTTTCTTCTTCTTTTATTTGAATATAGGTTTTGGAGTTAAACTAACTGGATCAAATGCATACAATGGTACAAAACATCCATATACATTTTTTACATTTTCAGATTATATTCAACATTTCACTGAATCTTGCCAAAATGTTGCCTAGGCATTCTAGACCCTGTTGTTGTCAAAGTGAGAATGTAGATTTTTGTGTATGGAACATGATTAGGGTCAAATGACAGGATGTGCTAATGTGAAGGAGGGGAACGGCTCTATACTTCTATCCTGCTTTGTCATGGTTTATCACCTCTGTAACACATTAAAGTATCTTATAACAAAACATATGGTGGCCTAGAAAGTTTATTCATAATACTTCAAATCTTTGGTTTCACCACTTACCCATTGGGTCACTGGCAAAGCCTGGTTGTGCGGGCCCTTGCTGATAAGGCCCCTGGGGGTAGGGTCCCTGTGCGTAGGGCATCTGAGGGTAAGGCATCTGAGGGTAGGGGCCAGGGGCGCAACCCGGGCCTGCCTGGGCGAAGCCCGGCTGGCCGTAGCTCGCTGCTGGTGGGTATGGCCCCACGGGGGCTTGGCTGTAGTTGGGAGGGGGCGTGTCGAACCCTGGCTGAGGGGGTCCGTAGACACTGTTATGAAGTGGGTTGTTCTCACCCATAACAGGGTATCCACTCTTATCCTGGGACATGATGAGGGGGAAGGCTCACTCTGCTACAAGTACAACATAAGAGAAGAAATGAAGCAGAATTACGATCAGTTTGCATATACAAAGATACCTTGCACAAACTATTTAAATATACGGTATGTTGCCCAAAAATGTAAACATCTCAAGAGTCCCAGAAGAGCGCAGAGGAAAGTTAAGATGGTCCACTATCCGAGCCAAACTGGCAGAGACACAGGCACTGCATATCCCTGATTAAAATGTAACTGGCAATCAGGAGATGCTGCAGGGAGGGAACAGAGGTATTGGGAAGAGCCATGCTTTCTGTTTCGCACAAAAACATCGAGGATTGTTAGATGTAGTTTAAAATAATTTGGTATCATATTTTTTCCTTTTTTGTATCACAACATGACCAAACTTCTGAAGAATGTGATTTACATATGAGAGTAAAAGAGAAGAAAAAATAGTGATCTATGAGTTTACGGCGCTGGGGTATTTAACCCATCCGGAGCAAGGTATCTGTCATAAAACAAGCCACAGGTTGAAGAGTCGAGGACAACTACACCCGAGGACAACTTCTGATTATTGTCATTTTCAATTGATCCACGGAATATATTCCAAATACCTTTATCAATCATTTGGGCTATAAACTTCTATGACCCTGATCTAATTGAAAATGTACACCTGTAATCACAGGCTACATTCATACCTTCATAAAACTGTTGATACTACACAGTGGTTTTAAGGATTTAGCCAGACAAAGTGAACAGATGAATGGGGAGAGAGAGAAATTGAGAAGACAGCGAACAGTGACCAGAGAGATAGTATTACCAACACGCAGGTGGTGTCTTGGTTACCAAATGTTCACTAATCCTGCCTTGACATATTGGCCATTACTGCAGTGTGTCCCCCCCGCCGGGCCCCTGTACATCCTGGTCAACAAGTTTCTGTGCCAGTTAAAATGGCCTCTATAATGCTAATGGAGCATCTACATGATGAGGGACAAAGTAGAAAACAGAAATCTCTCTGCAAGTGAGATAATGTTTTTAAGTGCTTTCAAATGAGTTTGTACAGGTTTATATAGAAGTCCTGCAGCCTCTGCGGAGCAAGGTGGGAGCCAAAAGGCATTCTCCCTTTTCAAAGGGACTTTCAAATAAATGCTTGAGTCTGCAGCTGACAGACTTTAGAGTGGGGCATAGGTCTGTGGGGTTTAAAGGGGACAGATCACGATAAGGGACAAGGCATTGTTGTTGTGTTTTTCCAATTGTATTTTTTGAGGCTTCAATCCTTGTAGTAGAGAAAAATCTGAAATATCTACAGCCATATCTAAAACTAACGTCAAAACAATATAGATTGATAACTAGCCAGTGTTTCCCATACATTGATTTATTATATCGTCCGCCACAAATGGATCTCATAAAAAAAAAAAAAATATATATTGTCTTTTTTTTTTTTGGTGGTCTAATGGATAGTGAGGTGGGCTGATGATCGGAAGGTTGCGAGTTCAAATCCTGCCTGGAACACCACTACTAGTGTGCCCTTGAGTAAGGCACTTAGCCCTCGGTTACTCCTGGGAGAATGTCCCTGTAATCGGTCATTGTAAGTCGCTTTGGAATAAGGCGTCTGCTAAATGCCTAAATTGTAAATTATATTTTTGGGAGAATAATCCCCACAGATCCTCAACTCCGGTGTGTTTCACTCATTAACAACGCAACACAGAGCAACAAGAACGTTGTCTACAGTAGCCATGAACTCGCATGTTTTATCTTATTTGAGGGGGGGTGGATGCACCCGAATAGGTTAAGGGGCCTTTGGCTTTTCTTGCCGGGGGTGCGGTGCGGTGCCCCCACAAATAGAATCAAATTCTGTGGGAAACACTGCTAGCACTACAGTTAAGTGGTGACTGCATTTAGTACAGTTGTGCATATAATGCATAGTTATACAGACATACTCTCAGTCTTTATACTTCCTTTAAAACACTCTACCAACAATAACAGTCCAGAAATATCCATTCAGTGGCAGATTAGAAAGCTACAAATCCAGCTAACCGTTTTATAGTCCCTCTATCTTCCTCTTTCCAGGCCACCCTGTAAGCGTTATGCAACAATGCTCTATTTATAGCACGTGCATCCAGACTCTGGTGTGTGTCTTTACCATCTCCGTCTGTCCATCACTGGGACAGCGCAGTGAGACTGCAGACAAACATGGCGAGTGCCGGCTCTGCTTCATACTGACAGTCTTCATAAGATCATAACAGCTTACAATCATTATCTGAGGAGCCAAATCCCTCCTGGCTTCCCACACAACAATGGTTACGTAAGGGGGGGCATGTAGAACACTGAGTAGGGCCATTTTGATTAACTGTCAAATCAATGTATTGATCAGGGACATTTTTACATTGAAATCAATATTGATTTAATACTAAAAGATCATTCTCTTGATCTCAGATGACAAATACACTTTTCAACAATTATGTAACACAAATAATGTTTTAATTGATTGCATTAGAAAAGACGATGGAAAGAACCCGGAGATGTAACTGAATAACCCAAGAGCTCTTAACTAATCAAGTTTTAGGTCTATAAAATCTCAGTAAAAATAAATGCCGATCACATTTTCACAATATATAGATATATATATATATATATATATCACAATATCTCCCACATATTCTGTTGAATGTTACAAATATATATATAGCAAAATACCCCCCAGGCCTTATACACATTTCCAAATTGTAGAAAAGGCTTGAGGTTATCCTGTAAGTCATGTTCAACAGAAGGGACTCGATTGTTTTTTTTAGTATGATAGATAACCAACCTAGAAACACAAAACACGGTCTAGTGAATTCCAGAAATGCGCATTAAGTCAAAACTGGCTTTGGTTCTTCAGTAAAGAACATTACAATGAAGTGCTATCTTTAACAGACATTCACTCCAACCACAACCACAGTCAATACAGTATTTATGTTATTGTAGTGGGTGAGTTTGTGCAGCTTTTCAAGCATTACGTGGCTGAATTTAAATCCTCTTAGGACAGATGCCCGACGTTAGATGGATAAGGGCAGTGCCAGTGTCTCTGGCCTCTGCTGATAGCTATCGCTGGAGGGGGGTTCAGTGGGCTAGCCAGAGAGCCACGTTAACACAATTAAGTTAGCACAATACCTCGACAAACCCACACACAACATGCCATGTGCATGCCTGAGCAACACCAGGAAACCCAGTGACAAAACAGGACCAGCCACACAAAGAGGCAGGGCTTATTCAAAGTGGAGAGTTCAAATATGTGGTGTCACAAAGGGTGAGAAGCGAGAAGCTGTGATCTCTGATGGAGGGTGAATTCAATGTAATAAAACATATATTTAAAATAAGAAGTTTACAGCTTTTGAACATGCCATTTAAAAAAAAAAATAATAATAAACAATAACTATCCCACTGATTGTTATCAAAGATGAAATGCTGTATCACAGTCACATGAGTGATTACATCTGTGGTAATCGTTTTGCAACCGGTAGAGAAACCAGCTGATTTTCTTATCAGACCTCAAAGCACTAATGACAACATTGAAAGTCCTGTTATGAAATCACACTGTTGGATAAATCCCCAGAGACTGCCTATATCTGCCAGCCTATGCAGTCGTCTGGCAAGAGTTTGTCATTGTGACGCGCCGTGTCAGCGCGGCTCTGCTCTGTCAAACCAGCAGACACCTCGCCTGGTGACAGATGGCGGCCCTTTAGGAAGGTTAGCATAACATGGTACCTTTGTTAACAAAAACAAAACTCTTCTTTCTATTAAAAGTGTGAAGTTAAAACTTCTTTGCAGCAATGTTGAGCCAATCATGAAATGAGTGAAACTGGATTCGCCTGTCAATACACTGATATTTATTGAGAGCCTGAGCGGCCGGAGAGTTCACAGCATATCACAGTTCCCTGCAAGATACCAGCAAACTCTGCCCCAAAAGCGCCAAGCACCCATCTATACATGGAGAAGAGGAGGGCCCTAAAACACGCGGGTTTTCCTTTAATGCATGCCAGATGTCGAGACAAAGACTCGTTGCATTGTAAACCCACATGAGCCAAGCTTCTCCCCACAAGACATCAGATGACCTCTTGACCTGTGTCTTCCTGAGAAGCTATGGATCACATTACAGGCAGGAATACACTTCAACCATATTAAACAGATTCCCGAGGACAAATCACTAAACTCTATATACTTTAACAAGACCAAAATATTCCTTTACAAAAAGGACAGTCTAAATGAAAAAGATGAATAGCCAAAATGTAATATGCTCAATTTGACAACCCTAAAAATGTGCAGCTGTCATAAGATTATGTCAATACAACATATTTACAAGTTTTCCATTACACTTACATTTCATACATTAGAAGAACACTTTTTTGTTGAACCATTATAAGGTGACACTAATGCTCTAATAAAAAGGTGTCTAATTTATACCTAGCTTAGAGTTTGACATTAATGATGTATGTATGTGTAAGCAGTTGCCAATTAAAGAGGCGTTCTTAAACATACGGAAGCTTGCTTTATTTCTCTTGTCTGTTCAAAGTCAACCCTCTCAACCTTGAAGAACGAAACTATTCCAAACAGAACCGAAGTGAAGCTGCAAAAGAAAAGTTGTTATCCTGATCGTATACGTTAACCCTCTTCACACCCAGATGGTCACACAACAGTAGACACATCCACTAACCTCACTTATTAGAAGTCTCCTCAGATTGTTCTTAAATTAAATAACCCTCAACTTTAAAAAATCCCTCACTGTGAAACTCAAGGTTTCAAGGTTCTTTATTTTGTCATACGAACATAGCTACAGTGTAGTTATGCCGATGCAAATCTTAGGTCACAGGCTTCTCCAACAGTGCAACACAATAACACAGATAAACAGACAAATATAGTAAATAGTAAATACAAAAAGAAAAATAGTTTAAAAAAGTGAAATAGTGCAATAAGAGTCTATATGCAAGTTATTGGAATGATATATAAGAGAAATAGATAAATAATTACTAAGTAGCAGATGAATGTTATGGATGTTGTTTCAGCCGTTCAGGTGTTTAACAAGTAGAGCAAAAGTCATTAGCTCTGCATGGCATCATGCATGTCCTTGTAACCTGCTGTCAGGGAAGAACAGAGAGGCCGTTTCAGTCCAAGCTTAACGTCAGACATCTTGTCATTGTAGGCGTTTTAACAAAATGAAGTTTGGTAACTTTCAGTGAGCAGACACAAGATAGAAACAAGACAATCTTATGCTATGATTTATTCCCTTAGCTTAATTCCACACAGGACAGTCGGAACGGAAAAGGAGAACTACAACAAAAACATTTAAAAGGGTCCAGAGTAGCCTGTACATAGCAAAGGAATGTGTTGGGCTGTAGCGGAGACAGCGAATGTGGAACTATTTGGAATATTCATGTAGAAGGCCCGATGCTTAGGTATCAACAACACATTTCACCACTATACAAATGTATGGGCTGCAAATATTTTCAGATTAAACAGGACAGTACTCTTCTGGACTAATGATGACATAATATGTGTGTAATATGTGTGTATCTGTGGGTATTGTCCACATGTGTAATATGTCGTGTAAAGCAATTTGAGCATGTGGAAAAGCGCTCAAATACAAATTGTATGAATTATCGTTATTCTTATTATATGACCAACAGCCCAAAACCCAAATATACCCATTATCATAATATAAATCAGAAACTGGTCCAACTTAATGTTTTGCATTGGAGCTCAAATAGTGACTATAACTTTTGATCGAATATATCAGTTCATATTTGTTTGGTCATGTTACATCATTGGTGGAAGGTAACTGTACACTTAGTCAAGTACTGTACTTAAGTCAACATTTGAGGTACTTTACTTGAGTATTTCCATTTTATCCTACTTTGTACTTCTACTCCACTACAATTCAGAAGTAAATATTGTACTTTTACTTTAGATATACCTGGATTAAATTCACAATTAGTTGAAATTAGTTTTGCCTTAACCAGCTTGATAAACAAATACAATCAATGACAATCAATACATCGATAATTATAATCAAAACATATAATAACATAATAATTACTCCTATTTTGTGTACTTTTAGTAAATTTAGATACCAAAATCTTTCTACTTTAGCATTTTGAATACAGGACTTGTACTTGTAAAGAGTATTCTGGCTCTTTGTAGTTCTGTTTAAGTACAACATTTGAGTACTTCTTCCACCTTTGTTTCAAATCCACCAAAATGCAAGGGAGATTACACGTGAGCACCACTCTGAACACAGAAGGTGATATGACAGCTGTTTCGAGGTTATGCAAAACAGACACATGACTCCAACATAAACATGGGCCTCGTTTTCCGGCAGCATCTGCAGCGGCCGTACATCCCTCTCTGTAGGCCTCACCACCGCAGACAAACACTGCGACAGCGCGATCCTCTGTTACATCAAACTGACACATATAAACCCCCAAGCTAGCAACACCACCACTGTATAAAACACGTGGATAACCTGTGAGTTATAAGGCTGTCGACATGGTAAACATCAAGTATCCCGGATGTTGAATCCATCAAATAAGTATTTTTTTTTTGGACGATGGCCACAGCCTGCGCCCGCATGTTTACAGTGCTGAGCTGTCAGTTTCCTTTAAAGCAAGATATTAGTTGGCCAGTACTATCTAGATGTTACATTTTCTTTTAAAAACATCCGTTTGATTAATTCCCCGTTCCCTCTCTTGCTGGCGTTAGTTGACAGCAGGCGGGATGATGCTGACCGTTGCTTACCACAGCTTGCTCGCTAGCCTCAAAAACAGGGTATTTAACGACTGACAAATGAATAAATACTTTCTACACATAAAACACACACACCGGGCAAACGTACAACCAATAGACTTTAACACACGTACCTTTAATGTGTCAAATAGAGAGTTTCAGCCGACATTAACGCTCCCTCCTCCTCCTCCTGATCTATGTGAACAACTGGGTCGAGAACTGC